ATTGGGGGCCATGCGTCCCCCCCCCTATGCCTAACCCCCCCCCTTAATTGACTTTGCTGCGAAACGAACTCAAAACGAAAACAATCCACGAGATCGCCCAAATGCAAACATCCAGCTGCTCCAATTTTTTCGGTGCGTGGGCTCGGAAGTCCACACCACTTCCCGCAGGGCCGGGTTTCCGTCCTGAGCCGTTTTTGGACGCTCCCGTGAGGCCCAGGGAAGTCCCCCGGACGCCGAAGACGGCCAAAAACAGCCTGCTCCAGTTTTTTGTGGCAGAATCGGATCTCGAGAGCCCTTGTTGATTTGAGCAGGGACCGACAGTCCCGGCACTTCTACAGGCCAACCACGAAATTTTCTTATAGTCCGAAAGTGTTCGAATAATAAGAAATATTCTTAGAACATAATCCCGAAATGATAAAACAAGAGAGTCCCAACCAGGAAAGTTCAAAGAACATTTCATTGGAACCTCAAGAGGATCTTAGAACATTGTTTGGTGGGACTGTTAGCGAGCCGGGACGCTTCGCCACTGCTTGAGTTGATGTCGAGCCCCTTGACAAGGCAATCAACGAGGAGGAGGAGAAGGAGGAGGAGGAGGAAGAGGAGGAGGCAATTTTTGGGTCATTTTTTGTTCGGCCCCCTGGCGCCCTGCCGGCAGGCTAAACCAGGTGCCGTCTGCGCGGCTGTCAGTCCGCGCCCCAGCCGCCGAAGGGCGACTCCCTGCCCGCCGCCACGCGGGCCCGCGCCCAGCGAACCGCGGCGGCGGGCGAGGCGAAGCCGTGAAGCTCCGCCGCCTGCCAGGCGTCCGCCACGACGGGCCTCAGCCCCCAGCGCGGCGGCCGCCCTGCACCAGCGGGAGCGCCTGCGCCAACCTCGCCGCCTGCGCCGTCGCGGAGCACCGCCGCGAGCCGCGCCTGCTCCTCCTGCGTGGGCGGCTGCGGAGCCGAGAGCCTGGCCTTGCTCTTGGGCTCCTGGAGGCGCATCAGGAGCCGCCGCGCCTCCGCCGCCCTCTCGCCAGGGCCTGGCCGCCCCTTGCAGCTGCCCAGCAAGCCTGTCCCAGCAGGTGGGGGCCGCTTCCAGAATCGGCACCCGCACTTCATGCACCAGGCCACGGCCCCGTCCCCGTTCTCGAGGCGCGAGACGACGATGCAGTGCCCGCGCACCTCCCGCGCCACTCCAGCTCCTGCAATCGCGGCCTTCAGCTCGGGAGCGGCCACCGCCGCCTCCGCCAGCTCGGCGGCCGCGGCCCCAGCGGCAGCGGCGGGCGCTTGGCCGTGCTCCTCTCCCGCAGCAGCCCCAGCAGCAGCGCCAGGCGCCTGGCCGAGCTCGAGGTCGGCCTCGAGCGCCAGCGCCGCCACCTCCGCGTCGGTCTGCTCCGCCGCGTCCAGCGCCTCCTGCGGGATGTCGTAGACGAAGTCGGCCGTGCCCACGACCCCGTCCGAGTCCAGCTGCTCGCGGTCCACCACGGTGGCGGCCAGCTCGCCAACCCAGCGCCCGAGCTCCTCCACGCGCCAGGCACACGCCTGGAGGGACCAGACCAGCTCCTCGTCGATCGGCCACAGAGCCGCGCCTCGCTTGGCCCACAGGTCAGCTGCCCTGTTGCCCCTGATCAGGAGCTCGTCCTCCCAGGTGGCAGCTGCAGAGAGCTCCTTGTGCGCCTTGACCTTCCGCGCCGTGGCCGTCGGGCCTGGCCCAGCCCACCGCGCCTGCCAGAGGTGGCGGCGCGCCTGCAGTGGCGCGAGGGCCTTGCCCTGCGAGAGCGCCAAGCCTACCGTGCCCGCGCAGTCGCAGAAAACCTCGAGGCCCGAGCCGTCGGCCGACGGCAACCAGAACTGGGCCAGCATGTGGAACGCGTGGTCCTCACCGTCCCTGGCCCCCTGCTTGGGCCCATACGCCCGCGGGGCGATGCCGTGCATCCCGCCGATGACCTCCCCGCTGAAGCCGATCTGCACCGCCGCCCAGCCTGCGCGGCGGGCCCCGCGCAGCGCAGGAAACCTGGCGCTGCCGTCCACGAAGACCCTGCCCGCGAACTTCGAACCAGGCGGCATGCCAAAACAGCGCGGGGCCGCGAGCGCGGCGTCGGCCGTCGCGGGGAAGGCCAGGGCTGGGTCGGGGCACAGCGCACGCGCGAAGAGCTCCGCCGCAGCGCCCCCGCGCTGCGCCACCAGCCGCGCCCCCTCCAGCAGCTCCTGCGAGCACGCATCCCGCCGCAGCATCAGCCAGGCCACGCACTCGAAGGCCCTGTGCCACAGCGTGCCACGGCCCCCGCAGAGGCGGCTTAGGCCATCGCGTGCCTTGCCCTCCTTCCATAGGCGCTCCTGCGGCCAGTGGGAGCTGCCGAGGACCGCTGCGAGCGCTCGCCCGTGGCGGGCCTGCCAGTGCGGCTGCGGCGGCGCGGGCTCCTGGCAGCCTGCGCCCTCGGCGGCCTCAGCGTCGGCCTGCCCCTCGGGGCGGCGGCGCGCGTGGAGGAGGCGCTCCAGCCCCTTCCAGTGCACAGGCCACGCCCAGGCTCCAGGCCCGCGCATCCGCCTCAGCGCAATCACGCCCGAGGCCAGCATCGCCGACTCGCGCACCGCCTGCACCAGCATGCCAGGAGAGTAGAACTCCAGCGAGAGGACACGCGCCTGCCAGTCTATGACGGCATTGCAGGCCACCATCTCGATGCCGACCCGCCTCAGCGCCAGCACGCATGCCTGCGCAGGGTCGCGGCACTGCCCCCAGGGGCGGCGAAGGTCGAGCAAGCCTTGCGCCCCCAGCCAGCACTCCTGCACCACCGCGGCGCTGGGCAGGCCCGTCTCCAGCGTCATGCCCCAGGAGCGCGCCACCTCCACCGCATGCACCACGAAGGGGTCGCGGTAGGCCGCGCCGCGCATCGCCCGCAGCCGCAGGCCAACGCTTGCGCCCATTGGCAGCCTGTCTTCCGCACGCATGGCGGCGATCCGCAGGCCATGCAGCTTCCCACAGGCGAGGCCCGTCACCGCGGAGCCCCAGATGGCGGTGGCCGCGGGGCTGCCTCTCTGGATGTGGCCCACCTGCGCACCTGCACTGCGCAGCAGGCGCGCCCGCGCGCTGACCTCCGCCGCGCGGCCAAGCCGAGCATCCTGCTCGCGCACGCGCCTCCAACGCCCATCAGCGGCGTCGCCGCCGAGGCATCGGGCGCCAGTCCAGCGGGCCAGCGGCCCATGCGCCCAGCAGCCGTCCAGCTCGTCGCCGAGGTCCTCGCTGTTCGCCAGGTAGCCCGTCTTCGCCTGCGAGGTGACCAGCCCCTTGGCGACCAGGCCCCCCGTGAGGGCCGCCATGGCCCTGGGGAGCTGCTGCACCACCTGTGCCCTGCCGCCGACCGCCTGCAGCAGCACGTCGTCGACGACATTTTGCAGGCGCGCCACAGGGTTCCCACGCACGATCTTCACGAAGAGGGTGTGCACCAGCAGCTTGGCCAGCCCGACCGCACCGCTGCAGCCCGCCACGATGGTGCCGTTCGCCTCGAACGGCTTGGAGACCGAGCCGCACCAGGACACGCGGCGCTGCGTGCGGTACGACACGCAGTAGCACTGCAGCAGCGCGAGCGGGAACTCCGTGGCGGCCGCCTGCACGCGCAGCTCCTCATGGCTGACGTGCTCGTAAAACTTCGCCAGGTCGGTGACGCCCGTGGCAGCCGAGAGGCCTCTGCTGCGCGCGAAGGCCGCCAGGAGGTTGTGCACCACCCCCGCGCGCTCGCACGGGCTCTCCGACGTGCCCCAGAAGGCAGGGTTCTTTAGCGAGGCCTCCCAGCGGGCCACCAGCGGCTGCCGCAACCTGCTCCAGACCCTCAGCCAGATGGCCGTGAGGCCGATCGGCCGCTGGCCACCAGTAGCCTTGGGGATGAACACCACGATCAGCTGCCACAGCGCCTCCCGCGAAGGCTTCCGCTCCCAGGCCATGAGGAGCTCCAGGAAGCGCTGCCTGTAGGTCCGCGGGAGGCGCAGCAGCTGCTTCGGGTGGAGCCTATCCCACCCAAGGCCACAGGAGGAGGAGGAGGAGGAGGAGGAGGAGGAGGAGGAGGAGGAGGAGGAGGAGGAGGAGGAGGAGGAGGAGGAGGAGGAGGAGGAGGAGGAGGAGGAGGAGGAGGAGGAGGAGGAGGAGGAGGAGGAGAAGGGGGAGGAGGAGGGCGAGGAGGGGGAGGAGGAGGAGGAGGAGGAGGAGGAGGAGGAGGAGGAGGAGGAGGAGGACGAGGAGGAGGAGGAGGAGGAGGAGGAAGGGGAGAAGTAGGAGGAGCTCAGAAGTCCTCGCGTCTCCTGAACACTTGTTTTGTGTCTTCGGGGAACGCTTAGCACATTTCGCAGCAGGCCCGAGGCCTACCGAGCCTTCTGAGAAGGACCCCGCCCCGTCGGAGGGAGAGCGGCGTCCAGACGCCCGCTTCGGGTCGCGGGCCTATCAGAGGGCGGCCCCAGGACGAGAGGCCCGTCTTGGCCGAGGATAGCTGAGACAGCATCGGACCGAGACGGGAGCCTGCTTTTGCAAACTCTGGAAAATTCACTTGCATGGCGTTCGCCCCCCCCCCCCCCCCCTGCCCCCCTGCCTCCCTCGCGCGTCTTCAAGCGAACACTGGCGTGCAAGTGCCTTCCGACTTGCGTGATTTCCGCACGTGCAAACCGTTGGCGGCTTGCTTCAGATTCAACCCCCCTCCCGTTCATGCAAGTAAACTTGCCGGACTCTAAAAAAGGCTCTCTGAGGTCTGGCGGCTTAACGCTCTGAGGACGTCCTGGAAAACACTGGAACAAAGTATCCCTGTTCTGGCCCGCCCGGAGGGAGCCTGCGACGTCGTGACTTTCCTGCTGCGCGGTCTCTGGGGCTCTCGGCCCCGTCAACCTGGTTCGTCCTGGATTGTCATTCAACGGTCCAGGAGCCCGACACAGGCCTCGGAACTCCGACAGCGGGACGGATCCTCCTCCTTGCCCGCCTCGCCCTCGTCCTCGTCCGCCGCCCTCCCCCTCCTGGACCCTGCGTCGCTGCTCTCTGTGTGCCGTCCTGCCAATCGCCGAACGCGCAGTCGACTGGGTCGCCCTGGGATGCGGCGCACTTTGCCCGCCCGCACTCGCTGATCTCGGTCAGCGGGTCGTCGCAGGCCTCAGGGAACATCAGGACGCGACGCTAGAGGCGCTGTCTGAGGAGGAGGAGGCGGAGGAGGAGGAGGAGGAGGAGGAGGAGGGGGAGGGGGAGGAGGAGGAGGAGGATTGGAAGGAGGAGGAGGATTGGAAGGCGGAGGAGGAGGAGGAGGAGGAGGAGGAGGAGGAGGGGGAGGAGGAGGAGGAGGAGGAGGAGGAGGAGGAGGAGGAGGAGAAGGAGGAAAACGAGCACGAGGAGGATGAGGGGGAAGAGAAGGATGACGCGGAGGAGATCGAGGAGGAGGAGGATGAGGAAGAGAAAGAGGAGAGGCGCTGTCTTCGAATCATGGTTAGCGTGCCTGCCTGGCGCCTCAAGGCGACACTGTACAGGCGATGCGGGCGGGCCAGTAACAACCTCAGTGCAACGTCATTCGACGACGACGTAGGCGGCGAGGAGGAGGAGGAGGACGACGACGACGACGGCGACGACGAGGTCGACAAGGACGACGATCGCCCCGAGAAGCAGGACATCGACGACGACGACGACGATCACGACGACGACGCAGGCAAGAGCGACGACGTCGACGACGAGGAAGACGTCGGTCATTCGGGGCACTGCCTCGTTGTGCCCGAACGCTGTGCTTCCGAGACTCTGGCGCTTGGGAGGCCGCGCGCAGCAGAGGCGGCCACGACGGGCCCCGCGACGCTCGACGCCGTGCAGCGCTCCGTGCTCGGAGGGCCCTGCGCACGACTGGCACAGCAAGATGGCAGCCACAGGCAGCAGCGCCCAAGATCGGATCGACAAGTCGGATCGGCGATCGACATGAATCGGATCGTCGGAAATCGGCAGCTGTGTCGGGAAAAGTCGGATCGGCAGAAATCGGCAGGCTAATATGCCTCCAATAAGAGACCGGAACTCAAATCGGAATCCCAGATCGAATCGAATCGGAATCGGAAACCATCGAAATCGAATCGAATCGAATCGAATCGGAGGAATCGAAACGAGCCCTGCCACAGGGCCACTCGGAGCCCGCCGGGGCCCTGCTGCCGCCGACGCCGTCGGGGGCGAGGTGGAGGACGGCACGGCTCCACAAGCTGCTGAGTGTGTGTCAGCTTGGACGGGGGATGCGGGCCTCTCTCGGAGGGCCCCCCGCCGCTCTGGGCCGGGGGGTGCCCATCCCTAGAAGCTCTGACAGGCTCGCTGTTGAGCCTCACGTCCCCGAGTGGCCCGTAAGGCATGCCGGTGCACTCCTGCACGTCGCTGGGCCACCGCTGGGCTGGCCCAAACGCATTCAAGATGGCCAGAAGGACTCCCGAATCTTGCCCCTGCTGGCATTCTGCCCTCCCGATCCCGCGAGAGCACGGCGCACAACTTCAATGTTGGCTACAGCCGAACATGTTCCTTGAGCATTGACCATGGCGCGCTGATGCTCACTTGACTGCGCGCTAATGACCTGGTCGATCACGACAATATGCGGCGCGGAGGACGTGAGCCACTCGGAGATCATGAGTGGGCCACCGTTGGGTCAACTTCATGTGTGGGCCAAGCTTGGGCCATCAGTAGATTAGTGGGACCATCAGCGGGGTCAAGAATTTGCCGTTGGCGTACCAGATCCATGTCTTGGGACCCTCCCTTCAAGGGTGGCAAGAAGGAAGCCCTGCATGACAACTATACAGACAAGGCATGCTCGCATGTCCATTGACGAACGCATCCGTCGCTGCTCTGCCGAGCGCTCTGGCCGATAGGAAGCCCGAGTCATCTCACCCATGCACACACTGGCGTGCACATGACACAGGGCCGAACATGCACAGACTCCAGACTTGTGTGGCCAACTCGGCGTGCGCAAATGCCTACCTAATTACGGACCTGGCGGTGCCCCCCTTCCCGCCTCCCCGCGCTCGAGAACGAAGAATGGAACGCTCTCGGTCGACCCGTGAGCCACGTGGACTAGTAGCGTGACGGGCACGACCAACCTGGAGGCTCGGATGGTGGAGGTCTCGATTGTGCTGGAACGATACACTACGACGGCAGTGATATCCTGTTGCTGGCGAAGCGGGTGCTACAAGCCTCCAAACGCATAACACGAGCTCTGAAGGCTGCATGAAACGCAGACGTTGCGGAACACATTCTAGGCCCTTGAGCAGCGAACCTCGATCCTCGAGACTCCCATCACGTATCACAGCTCGTCGCATCGCAGCGCGGAAGGAAAAGGAAGTGAACGCTCGAACTAGATTCTGAGATGACTCCCGAGAACGATAAGATGGAATGAATAGGAAGGTAAACGCTCAAGGCGATGATACGATGTTCGGAAACGCAAGCAAATCCAACAATCCGCGAGATACGCTGCGCTTCTCGCGGTGCTCCTCCGGAGCCTCTGTGGACGCCTCGGCGGCCCCCGCCGCGCGCCAAGGACCGCATTGAAATGCAGGCTGGCAGGACTGCGGTCTACCATACACGATCAAGGGTCGAGAGGCCCTTGGATGTTGCCTGAAGGAGCAATGCGCATCGAATCGCCAAACCGGATAGGTTCTTCAAATGCATAAATATCGGATCGGGCTGCGTCGGCACGGAACCGGAATCGCATCGGCTCAACTGCACCAGGACGCACAACAACGCCATACAAACATCGGGCCGCATCGGATCGCAGGGGATGTCGGAATCGAACCGGGTCGGGCCGGCAAGAACCGATATTGACTCGGATCGATCAGATCGAAATGGACCCTAGTTTTAGGTCGGGCATGTCCTCCTACAGGAGGATTTTGGACAGTAAATAAGAAATTGCCAACAAATAATCAAAACTACTCAAAAGAGGTAGAAGACTCGGCCCGGCACAATGCTTTGCGTATTTGTTGATACTCCTCCTGTAGAGAGACATGCCCGACTTAACCCTAGTTCCTAGTTCGCCCTTTGGAGGATTAGGATGTTACTGGAGGTCTAGGAGGCCTCAGTGGGACGTCTGGATATGAACATTGAATGAAGTCCCTGTTGCTGCGAGATCAACTGAAATAAACAAACCGGCTCGACGACTCGGCGCAGACAATTCAGACTCGAACGGTGCTGCGCCACTAGCCGCGTTCAAGATGGAAAGCCCGCGCCTGGTTCGCCGCATATTCAGCGCGGCGCGAATCTGCCGTGGATGTTCGACCACGTTCTCTTTGACGATGGAGGAAGATCTTCAGCACCTGGGTGCCACTCTCAGCGACCTTGCAAAGCTGAGGTTCGAAGCTCGGCAATATTGCAATATTGCATCCCTTAACGACGTGAGACCTGACTTCTGAAGCACCGTGAACGGATAAACACTGAACGATTTCCGCTCCCGGAATCTACAAAAGCCAATCGGCCCCATGTTCTGTATGGATTTCGCGCCGCGGGTTGCTTTCTTCTTCTGAAGAAAAGGGAAGGGTCGACCGTGATGCACCACATGTACTCCCAGTGCCCTCCGTTTCGAAAAGCTTCAGGGCAAGTGTTACGTAGGATGCGTGCCGGAGCCAATCCAGTCTGGATCAAAAGAGGCAGCCGAGAGAGGGGGAGGATGGGAAAACCAAAATTTCGATGCGAGCCCAGCAGTGGCGACGAGGGCCTCCCAGGGGACGAGGAGTTTCAGAGGAGGAGCGGGGGAAAGTAGGGGGGGGAGGGGGGGGAAGAGGAGGAGGAGGAGGAGGAGAAAGAGGAGGAGGAGGAGAACGCAACAATCAGAGGATTCAACTTGGCGCAACGTCAGCAAGGAGGTGGAAGAGGAGGAGGAGCTGCAGAGGAAGTGGCGGAGGAGGAGGAGGAGCCGGAGCTGCAGTGGCGGAGGAGGAGGAGGAGGAGGAGGAGGAGGAGGAGTTGGAGGAGGGGGAGTTGCAAAGGAGGAGGAGGAGGAGGAGGAGGAGGAGGAGGACCAGTGGAAACCCAAGAGTCATCAACGATGCTGGAGTAAACCCTCTCTCCGAGCTCCCTGTTCACAGGACCCTACGAGGACTGACTCATTCCCACGGAGGGAACTGCCCCGTTGACAGACAACCGTTTGGAGACCCTGAGCCACGCCAAAACATGATTCTCTGGACTCCAACGCCGCGGATCAACTGAACTGTTGCGTCTTGGCTATCCCGAGAACCGTGCCAGAACGCCATTCCTGGGACTTCAACACAGCGAATCAAATGAACTGTTGCGCACTCATGCTCCTGAACATGTCAAAAAAACACCATCCCTGGTACGTTGACCATCAGACTCCGTGAAATTCTTGGAACGTTTAAAAAAGATTGCGCGCGGAACTAAGGCGAGAGCCACTTGTTGAAAAGGAACCGCTCACAATCTGCGAAATCCTTGAAATGTTTGGAAACGAGTGTGCGCGGCGCTGAGGCGATAAGCACATTTTGAAAGCCACCCGCCCTTCATCTGAGAAAGTGTTGCCAATGCTGAAGCTTCAGGATTAAACTAGCGAGGAAATCTCAGGGGGAACGCCCGGCCTGCCCCTTTCGACCGGCCTCGGGGTGCGACAGGGAGAAACTAATTATAAGGAGTGAGGAAATGTAATGGGATGTAATGGACTGGAGGAGGAAGAGGGGGAGGAGGAGGAGGAGGAGGAGAAGTTGCAAAGGAGGAGGAGGAGGAGGAGGAGGAGGTCGACAACGGCAACATGGACGACGACGCCGTTGTCGATCCGGCCTTCCCGCCGTTCACGGGGTGCTGCTCCACCTCGCGCGTGCGCACGTGCTGGCCGCCGCCGCAGGTGGCCGAGCACTCGCCCCACTCCTCCGCGGGGTGCAGGAGCGGAGGGGGGCGGCTGGGCGATGACGTCGACGTCGACGAGGACGACGACAACGACGACGACGACGATCACGAGCGCGGGTGCCAAAGATTTTGAGATCGTCCTCGTCCCACCGTGCGCGTGGACACGGGGCCGAACTCCGGGGAAGAAGCAACGACATAAGCATACCGACTCAGAGGTCCGCGCGGATTTCTGAGATCGGCGCTGGACCACCCTCGCTGGCGAACGGAGCCCGCCAGGGACGGCGACGGAGGCGCCGCCGGGGGGTCCCAGCACCGATCCGAGGAATCCGCGCGGACCTCCAAGCTTTTATGCTTATGTCATTGCGTCTTCCCCCTAAGCAGAGGAGGGGGCAAGGCGGGGGCCCAGACCTCCGACATCGCGATTTTGTCGTACCATGGACCCCAAGAGGTCTGGACCCCCTCCACGGGACCGGTATTTCATACTGAGTCGTTTTTTCATGGCCCCGAGGCCCGGGAAGGGCCCCCGGCACCCGAAAATAGGCAGAAACCTCCCGTCGTGATTGTTTAACAACGCGAGGGGCCCCACACACGCGCCTGGGCCACTGGGCCGCCCCAGATGAGAGCCACAGAATCCGATGCAGGGGCCGCGCGACGGACCACCTCTCGACATTGGGCGGAAGGGTTTCCCCCGGGGCCGTAGGCGACCCGAGGAGGAGGAGGAGGAGTAGGAGTAGGAGGAGGAGGAGTAGGAGTAGGAGGAGGAGGGGGAGGAGGAGAAGGAGGAGGGGGAGGAGGAGGGAGGAGAAGGAGGAGGAGGGGAAGGAGGAGGAGGAGAGAGAGGAGGAGGCGGAGGAGGAGGAGGAGGAGGAGGAGGATGAGGAGGAGGAGGAGGGGAGGAGGAGGAGGAGGGAGGAGAAGGGAGGAGGAGGAGGAGGAGGAGGAGGAGGAGGAGGAAGGAGGAGGAGGAGGAGGAGGAGGAGGAGGAGGAGGGGGAGAATGAGGAGGAGGAGGAAGCTTGGCCAGCAGAGATCCCCAGGGCTCGATCGATCGATCCTGCCCCGCCCCCGCAGTCCATGCCGCCGCTGCGACCGCCTGCCTGCCCCTCCTCGACCGGACGCCGACGCGCACCGCAGCGCTGCCGTCGGGGAACAGACAGCGACATAGACACAACAACTCGGAGGTGATCGTTTTTTCATTCACTGTTCCGCCGATCGGCGCGGGCCCTCGCACCCCCCCCCCCTCCCCCCCCCCTCCATGGAGTAGATCCCGGCTGTTTTTGGGCGCCTGTTTTCAGGCAGGCGGAGTCTCCCCCACAAGACGCACGGTTGCAAACAGTCGCACCAAGCAAAGGTCGGGAGCCAGACCCCCCTCCCTCCCTGGAGGGTTCCTCCGAAGGGCTTAGGCGAGCCATGCGCGCCATGTGAGCGACAAAAAGATACGGGCCTTACGCGAGATGACATGGCGACCTTCTGCGGTGGCTTACGCAGGCCGCCAGCGCGGCGCTCTAGATTGGACACGAGGGCGCTCTCGCGCGACCTTACGCGGGCAGCTTGCGCGCCAATGTCGGTGAAGACGGCCTCGTTGCTCTGCGTCGCTCATGTCTGAGACAACTGTCTGAATCAGCTGGCAAACTTGACGCTCTCAAACATAGAAATTTTATGTTCACAAAAGCTTCACAACAACATTGCGGAGAAATGGAAACTGAAACAGACCTCAAATGAATTTTGAAACAACACACATGTAGTATCCAACGCTGCTTCAAACAACGTTCGGGAACATTCGCAATTAAAGAAAGACATCACATTAGAACAACGACTACTTAACTATGGCCCGCTTCAAATCAAAATAGGTCAGGCATTATAATACTTCCGCGATGGGCAACTATAGAGTTGTTAAGTGCCCAGTAAGTTTGAAAGGTTAAGTCACACGAAAGAAGCAACAACGTTACACTCTCCAGTAACGTTCCCAGAGTTTTATGGACGCCACTATCCGTCCAACCCTTTCCTTCCGATCCACTTTGCAATCCAAGATCATGAGGGATGATAGAAGAATGTATGAATATGATAAGAGGGGACGGTGAGGAGGATCTAGGGTAATGTCAAGGAGGATAACGACGAGGTAGATGCAACAATGCCTCGCGTCAATGCTTGGCCAATGGAGCGGCGAACAACGGATGAGCGGCACGCAGATGAGGAAAACAATGATGACGACGATAACGGTGATGAGGAGAAGAAGAGAATGCGATACCGAGAGGGTAGACACTAGGAAAAGGACGAGTACGAGACTCACGCGCAAAATGAGGGACAGGCGGTAGACAAGGAGACTTTCTTTCAAGGGGAAGGCGCAGCGCCGAGACCAGTGCAGGCCGCCAGCTCACGACGTCTGCGGTGCCTGTAGGGAACTCTGCTGGCTCAGCAGGCCCTGCACGTCGTCGTAATATTCCTCCAAGGGGACGACCAACAAAAACGTGTTGCGTTTTCTTCCTTAGTGATGCGTTGATTTCATCGAATATCCCCCAAAATCCAAACAACCCCCGGCAGCGAAAACAAGCAAACATATTGAACAATACGACCGATACACCTCCACCGTCCTTGCTCTACCCATGGGCTGTTACAAATGCCCGTGCCGATGCCCCTCTAGGACCATTGCTTTTGCTCGGGATTGCAAAAGAACTTGGACCTAAAAAAAAAACGCAGGATTTCTTCGGTATCGGTATGGTTGTATGTCTTCTGACGGTGGGCGCGGGAACAACGCCACAGCGAGAACGCTACGAAAACACAACTGGATTGCCTGTGGCGTTGATCTGGCCGCCCGACAGGACAGTCCTGCTTCTCCATCCAACGCGGGTCCACTTCTATGTGGAAGTGCAGCTCCACAGGCCTTCTGCATCACCATCATCATCCCAGCCCTCATCTATCATTTCGACACCATTTTGGTCATACCATCACGGCCATGGTGTTCAGGATGATAAGCATGAGTACGATTCAGCTGTCGGATTTTATGACAATGTTGAAAATGATAATGAAGGTGATGTTGATGATGATGATGATGCTGATGTTGATGACGACCATGGACGCGACCGCCGTCCTCATCAATATAAGGCCCTCATCATCACTATAATCACCATCGCGGCTTACCCTCGTAGTCGGCAGCTGGGCGCCGCATCAGTGTATGTGTATGTGTGGGCGCGCGTCTGTGTGTGTGTGTGTGTTTGTCTGTGTCTGTGTCTGTGCCTGCGCCGGCGCGCGTCTCTCGCTGCCCTGCCACGTTGGCCCGACGCGCCACCCTATCCGTGCGCACCTAGGTGGTGGGAGCACGGCTCTTCTCTACTCGCGGAGAGAGGGCGCATGGCGCGTCCGCCAGTGCTTCCGCGCGGCGCCAAGTCAAGCGGGCACCTGCAGGAGCTGCGAAATGCGACGCGCACCTCAGGAGGCGAATTCAGCCTCGCTGCCCCCAGCGCAGGCAAGGAGGAGGAGAAAGGCCTGCCAGCGCAGGTTGCCGAGGAAGAGAAAGGCCTGCCCGCACGCTGGCAACCCGGTCCTTCCACCTCTGCGCCAAAGCTCCTCGTCCTCCTCCTTAATTTCCTCCTCCTCCTCCTCCTCCTCCTCCTCCTCCTTATGTTCCTCTTCCACCTCCTCCTCCTCCTCCTCTTCCTCCTCCTCCTTCTCCTTCTCTGCCTCTAAGGCCGCGGACGGCTTAGGCCATGAACACACACGGCCTCTGCCGCACGTCCCGCGACCACCCTCCACCCGCCAGGACCCCGAGAGGGACTGCTCATTCGGCTGGCTGCTGGCGGCACCCCAGCGCGCCGACGGCATGATGGCCAATGCGGAGGATGACCGCTGCGGCGCCCCCCCATCGGTGGTGAGGCGCTCACGGGCTCAGCGCCGCCGAGCACGACTGCGATGCCGACTCTTCCGGACTGGAGCGGCTGCCGGCCTTCCGCCCGGCCTCGTGGAGATGCAGATCGTACCGAAGAACTTCCACCATGAGAAGTCGGACAAGGCCATGCTGGCGAGGGACTCCGAGTGCGACGGCGCCGAGCCTCAGATCCACGACGTCCCGAACGGCATCCTCTACTCCACCTGCGCCGTGAAGACGTCGCAGGTGAATTGCGAGAAGTACGACGGCAACCCCTGCCTCGAGCGCTACGAGACGACCCACGGGAAGTCGGACACGGACATGCTGGTGAGCGTCCCCGACGGCCGCATCGGGACGAACGTCTACGACCAGGACGGCACGACGCACGACACGGACATGCTGGTGAGCGTCCCCGACGGCCGCACCGAGGCAAACATTTATGGCTTCTGCAAGGACGACAATGCGAACGGCATTACTCGCTCCAGCTTCGCCGCGCCGACGCCGCAGGGGGTCAACGAGATGCAAATCGTGCCGAAGAACTCCCACCACGAGAAGGTGGACAATGCCATGTTGAGGATGGACTCCGATGGCGACGGCACCGAACCGCAGATCAGCGACGTCCCTAACGGCATCGTGTGCTCCAGCTGCCCCGCGAAGACGTCGCAGGTGATGAGCGAAAAGTACGACGGCCACCGCTGCCTTGCGTGCTACGAAATGATCGAGCCGAACACCTACGACATCTGCGGCATGGACGGCTAGAAGTACAGTGGCCCGTTCTGCCTCAAGTGCTACGAGATGATGCACAGGCGCGGGAAGTCGGACAAGGCCTTCGGGACGAATGCCTACGACGCCTACGACAAGGACGGCACGACGAACGACACGGATATGATGGTGAGCGTCCCCGATGGCCGCCTCGAGGCGAATACCTGCGGCTTCTGCAACAAAGACGGCACAGCAAATGGCATTTTCCGCTCCAGCTTCGCCGCGCCGACGCCGCAGGGGGTCTACGAGATGCAGATCGTGCCGAAGAACTTCCACTACGAGAAGGTGGACAATGCCATGTTGAGGATGGACTCCGATGGCGACGGCATCGAACCGCAGATCAGCGACGTCCCTAACGGCATCGTGTGCTCCAGCTGCCCCGCGAAGACGTCGCAGGTGATGAGCGAGAAGTACGACGGCCACCTCTGCCTTGCGTGCTACGAAATGATCGAGCCGAACACCTACGACATCTGCGGCATGGACGGCTAGAAGTACAGTGGCCCGTTCTGCCTCAAGTGCTGCGAGATGATGCACAGGCGCGGGAAGTCGGGCAAATCCAGCTGAGGAGCGACAGCGAGGGCGGAGACACGACCAACCCGGAACGGATCGACACCTACGCCGAGGAGGAGTTCGACGAGGAGGCGGAGGACGACAGCATCCCCATCGACATCTACGACGCCTTCGCCTGCGCCTGCAGCGACGCGATAGTGGACCTGACGCTGCAGAATAGCGAGGTAATGGTGACCGCGGCCCTCGAGCGGACGATGCCTGAGACGGCGCCCCACTCGTTCTGGGATTCCATCGATGTTTGCGGACCATCAACAGGATGGCTAGGCGACACATTTAGCTGCAGGACGATCTGCGCATCTGTGCCCCTTCTGTGATTTGTTTGCCATTCTCGTTTCGTGCTGCGAGCTGTCGTTGCCGCGCGCGCCCGTGCAGCGAATTTCCCCCGCGTCTGGCTTCTCACCGACAGTTTGCCGTCCCGAGCAGCGTTGTCGCGCGTGCCCCACCCCAGACGCGCCGCCGAGAGAGAGAGTATGGACCTGATGGGGTCCAGCGACGGTGCTGCTGTACTATACGCCACTCTTCCTCTCCAGCACGCAGGCCCCTTCGTCGAGTAAAAAAGGTAAGGTGGGGGCTTCTCCGCCTCTACCTTTTATTGTTGCCCACGCCCTCGAGCACCAGAGGCGCGCGACAGCCCGAAAAGGGCACGCGGCTGCGGCTGCCCGCGTTCTCGGGCTTCCGAGCTGAGAGGGCGGCTGCGGCTGCCCGCGACCTGGAGCAGCGGAGGGGTAACACGACCTCGGCTCACCGGGCCCACCCCCGAGAGCGGAGCTGGGGCCCGCACCTTTTATTGGGTAAGCGGTAACTGGGATCCAACGAACGGTCGGGCTAGCGACGGGACGCGCACGTAGCTAATTACGGCGGGTGGGGACACAAAAGGACATAAACATAACAGCTCGGAGGTTTTCGATGATTTCTCAAATCGGCGATGGACCCCCCTCCCCGGCGCGCGGGGCGCGCCAAGGGCCCCAGCGCCGATCCGAGGAATCTGCGCGGACCTCCGAGCTTTTATGCTTATGTTATTGCTTATTCCCCCCTAAGCAGAGGAGGGGCCTAGGCGGGGACCCATGCCCCCGACATTCGTTTGTGTCGCAGCGTCGACCCCCACGCCCCCTCCCCAGGGCCGGTTTTGCATCCCGAATCGTTTTTGTTCATGGTCCCGAAGCCCAGTAAGGGCCCCCCGAAGCCGAAAATGGCGAAAGCCCCCCCGTCGCGTTTTTGTTAGAGGGTGTCTGGGGACAGGGGCCAGGCCGAGGCGCAACATCCGATTCGAATGAAGGCTGGCAGGCAGGGGGGACTTGGGCACGGGCTGCATCCCCAACGCAATGGTCCAGCACACGCGCGCACAGGCCGAGTTCCGCTACGGGGCTACGTCGGCTAGCTGACAATCCCGCAGCCACAGCCGCTGCCAGCTAGCCGCGTCGGGAAGGAAGTGGCAGCGGAAAGGCCCGAGAGCTCTCGGGCCCAGGGCGGGCCCGCGCACGCGCGCGCGCGGGCCGCGGGGCCGCCCTGGGGGCGAGCCGCCGAGGCCGATGCGTCGAAGCCGAGCGACGGGCACGCGGACGCGGAGGGCCCTCTCGGGGGGGACCCAGCAGCAGTGCGGTCGCGGGGAGGGAGGGGGAGGAGGAGGAGTTCTCAACAGGCGCGGCGCAAAGCGCGCCAGGGGCACAGCTAGGCGACTGGGGCACGGGCCCGACTGAAAGGAAAAGAGCCCGAGCACCTCCCCAACAGGGGAGTGCCAGCGGCCGCAGCAGCGCCAACGGTCCAGGGCCATGCCCCCGTGGCGCGCTGAATGCGAGAAACAGGGCACGCAAGGAGACCGTGCTCCGCGCGCCCTGTTCGGGGTAGGGGGCGCCGGAGTTCGTGCTCCGATGCCCAACCTACCCACCAACCGCTCCATGGTGGCCGCTGGCGACGAGAGCAATTTTCTCTCCCCTTGGCCCCGCACGGGCAAACAAGGGTGACGATCGGGCTGCTATCCGCCTGTTTTTCTGGGAAGGGGACCCCGGGGCACAGGCGCCAGGGAAGAGGAGGAGGAGGAGGAAAAGGAGGAGGAGGAAAAGGAGGAGGAGGAGGAGGAGGAGGGAGAGGAGGAAGAGGAGGAGGAAGGGGAGAAGGAGGAGGAGGAGGACGAGGAGGAGGAAGAGGAAAGGAGGAGGAGGAGGAGGAGGAGGAGGACGAGGAGGAAGAGGAGACAGAGAAGGAGGAGGAGGAGGGAGGGAGGAGGAGGGAGGAGGAGGAGGAGGAGGAGGAGGAGGAGGAGGAGGCGGAGGAGGAGGAGGAGGAGGAGGAGGAGGAGGAGGAGGAGGAGGGAGGAGGAGGATGGATGGTGGATGGATGGATGGATGGATGGATGGATGGATGGATGGATGGATGGATGGATGGATGGATGGATGGATGGATGGATTGATGGATGGATGGATGGATGGATGGATGGAGGAGGAGGAGCCGGCTCCCCAGCCGTGAGCCCCTCGGCTGGAACACCCAACCACCGACGGGCACGGGCAGGGCCCAGGCCGCACCAGACCCACGACACCCACGAGGGCCCCGACGGACCCCATCGATCCTTGGAGCAGGGCACCCCGACGGATGCTACGACGACGGCGGCGACGACAACCTCGATCTCTGGGGACGACGACAGCGACGGACGACGGACCTCTCGGGTGCCCTGTCCAGTCATTGGACAGTTGAGCAGGGACCGACCGTCCTCGGCATTCCTATTGTCATACCACGAAATGTTCTTAGGACCCCAAAATGTTCTAAGAACAAAAACAAGGTTCTTAGAACATAAACCCGATGTGCTAAAACAAGACAGTCACAGCCAGACATGTTCTAGGACAATTTCCTGGAAACCGCAAAACGGTTCTTAGAACATTGTTTGGTATGGCTATAGGCGAGCCAGGACGCTTCGCCACTGCTTGAGACAGGGCGCCCGGAGAGGTCGCGAGGCTCTCCCGAGGGCAGCGCGGCACCAGAGCACCGCGGGGCATGCGGGCTGCAGAGGTCGGGACAGGCAGGAGGCCAGGGCACCCTCGACTCGGCATGGTCTGAAGGGCGCCCAGGACACATAACTAAATACACACAAATAAAAATATTCCCAATATTTTCCCATATTTTCTGGGTTTCTGTCTTCCCCCCCACTTCCCATAGTTTCTCATATTTTCTGGGGAATCGAAGATTAATTGTGTCTGTGTGTTTCTTTTCCTCCTGATGGTCGACCTTCCAGTCAGGGCCGACAGCAGGGAGTCTGGGCTCACTGTTCTGTGGCAACTCATGGGAGCCTCCCATACCATCGTGTCGGCTCTTGCGAATCGACGCTGGTCGACGCTAAATCGACGCTGATCGACGCTAAATCGACGCTAAACGACGCCAGCCGACGCTAAAGGCGTCATATGATCTGCCGCCGATTATCGTTGTGCATCGCTCGCGCAGCTGCTTCACTCCGCGCCCGGTATCGGACCTGGCTTCGTGCTCGTAGGGGACCTTGCCCTGCCTGCGCGAGCCCCAGGAGAGCCCACGATCGAATCGATAAGTCGGATCGGCCATCGGAAGGAATCGGACCGGCGGACATCGGCAGCCGAGTCCGGGAAGGCCGAATCGGCGGAAATCGGCAGGCTGGTAGGCCTCCGTTGGGAAATCGGAGCCCAGATCGGAAGCCATCGAAATCGAAATCCAGTGGGAATCGGAAGCCATCGAGATCAAAATCCAGTGGGGCCTCGGAAGCCATCGATCCGTTGAGAAAGCCGAACCCTCTGGGCGTCGGGAGCCGCCGAAAGCGCATCGGGTCGAATCCGAGGACTCGCCGGGAGCGCCCCCGCACGACGACCACGACGACGAACGGCGGGGCGGCGGCCGGCAGCGACTCCGGCGCCGGCCACTGGCGGCGACAGCGACGACCAAAACCACGACGACGACGACGACGACGACGACGACGACGACGACGTCCGGGACCCCCCACGTGCCACGCGGTGGCCTCTCTGCGGCCCACTTCCCCCGCCCCGGCCGAGGGCGCACCCTCCTCGGCGGAGAGCGGGCGGCGCGCACTCCCATCGGCCAGGCGCATGCTCCTGCTCCCCCTCCTGCTCCTCCTCCTCCTCCTCCTCCTCCTCCGCGGCCCTGTCGGTCTCATCGCAAGCATAATCAAGAGCCGCCATCACGCCCTCAACATACATAATCACCCACAGCAGCATCCACGACGTCACCGATGTAATCAGCATTGACAAACGTTTGTCCCATCCTCACTGCCACTGTCATCACGACGACGATGATGCTGATGATGATGCTGCTGATGATGATGATGATGATGACCATCATCATCACTCCAGCCAGCAAGCGCAAGAGAAGATCCACGAGCCTTCCAAAGTTGACAGTCTCAGAGATCTCGTCCTCGGCCGCAGCAGCAATTTGTCTCAGACAGCCCTTTACTATGAACGCCTGGCCCTGCCTCTTGACCACCACCTTCTGCCCCAGCTTCAGCACCCCGTCCTTAGACTCGCGCCAAATTGCGTTCACCACGGTGGTCTCGTACGGCAACTCATCCTTCAAGACACCGAACAGCTTCTCCCGAGTGATCTCAGATGCTGCCACACGCGCGGGAACGTCGCTTACCGCTGACGGGGGGTACACGGGGCTCTGCATCGGCAGATTCTCGCAAAGCCAATTCTTGATCGGCGCGAGCGAGTCTGGATTGCGTAACACGGAGGTTGGCCAGAAATTGCCCAGCAAGGGCTCGCCTTCGGGGCCGAGCAACATGATAAAATGTGCCACCCAGACCTCCCTCTTTTTAGGTTTCCGTCCCTTTCGAAAGGAAGCGGGGTCTCACTGGCCACATTACAATTTTACATGTATCCATGTTGTGCATTTTTACGACTGATCTCGCTGTATTACATTCCTTTTGCCCTCCATCCCTCCCTCCCGAGACCCCTGGCGTCATGAACGTTTCAAGACGCGACCCCCATAGGTCGGACCCATTCCCCAGGACCCGTTTTTCACTCTGAATCGTTTTTCGACGGTCCCGGGTCGGGGCCCAGCGAGGGCCTCCAGGGACCGAAAATTGCGAAAAACCTCCTGTCGTGATTTCTTCATGACTCGAGGGGGTCTGGGTCCTGGGGGATGGTGGAGGGGAGGCGGGGATGGTGCTATGTTGAAATGCCCGAGTCGCCCTCGTTGTTCTTGCCGAGGTCCTTGGCCAACCGCTCCCTCACGCTAGAAATGAACCCGTCGGGATCGTCAACCTTGACGCGGAAACGAAAAGGACGATTGTGAGAGCTGGGTGTCGCTCAGTGGGGGGCGATTCTTTGGGGGGGGGAAGAGAAGGCGCTCTTCTCGGGCCCCACTGGCACCCTTTTGGGCCCCAAATGGCCCCGCCCCTTTTTTGCAGCCCTCGCTGCAACCCCTCGTTGAATCATCACCCCAACATGCGACGCCCAAGGAAGAAGAGGGCCATTACACGCCGGTCGCAAAATGAGAGAGAGCGTGATCCACCGCCGCTTTACTGTGGAAAATCCCCCCCCCTCTTCCTCCGGAACCCGAGGATACCCGGCCCCCTCTGAGAATCCCTCCTCCCCCTTGCTCGAAGCCCCCCCCCCCCCCCCCCCAGCAAACAAGCCCCCCCCCCCCCCCCCCCCCCCCCCCCCCCCCTACCCTTCCCCCCGTCTCCGCAAAACCCGGGGGGGTCACTACCTGTTCGAACCCCCCCCCCGCCCTCGATCCTCACTATCCCCACCGCTGTCCCACTGAGCTGTCCCACTATTCCCACAACTGTCCCACTGTCCCACTGTCCCCGCCACTCTCCCCACCATACCACTGTCACATTGTCCCACCACCGTCCTCACCACCGCCCTCATCGCTGTCCCCAGCACCACCATCCCCACCACTGTCTCCCCACCACTGCCCCAGTGTAACCTCACCACTGTCCCGACCACCACCGTCCCCACCAATGTCCCACTGTCCCCTCTGTCCCCACCAGTGTCCCACTGTCCCCACTGTTCCCACCACTGTCCCCACCAGTGCCCCCACCACTGTCGCACTGTGCCCACTGTCCCCACCACTGTCCCACTGTCCCCACTCTCCCCACAACTGTCCCACTGTCCTCACCGCTGTCCGACTGTGCTGTCCCACTGTCCACACTGTCCCCACCACTGTCCCACTGTACCCACCACTCTCCCCACTGTACCACTGTCCCACCACCGTCCTCACCACCACCCTCACCGCTGTCCCCACCACCACCGTCCCCACCACTGTCCCGCTGCTGTCCCTACCACCACCGCCCTCATCACTGTCCCACTGTCCCCACCACTGTCCCACTGTCCCCACCGTCCCCAACACTGTCCCACTGTCCCCACAGTCCCCACCACTGTCCCACTGTTTCCACTACTGTTCCCACTGTCCCCACCAGTGCCCCCACCACTGTCCCACTGTCCCCGCCACTGTCCCCACCACAGTGCCACTCTCCCCACTGTCCCCACCGTCCCACTGTCCCCACTCTCCACCACCATCCCCACCACCGTCCCAACCACTGTCCCCACCAGTCCCCCATCCGGAGTGGGGGGGGAGGGCGAGTCGTTGCAGTGGGGGGGGTTCGAACCACTAGTGAACCCCCGGTTTTCCAGGGGGGGGGTTCGAACGGGTAGTGACCTCCCCCCCTTTCATTTGGAACCCCCAGTGACCCCCCGCTGGTTTTCGAGAGGGGGGGGGGACAGGTTGGAAACCCCCATTGACCCCCCCAGGTTTTCTGCCAGCAGCGGTAGAACACGCTCTTTCCACAATGAAGACAGATATGCGAAAAAGAAGAGGCAAGCGTTCCACATAGGTTGCGTTCCGTGGCCCCATAGACAGCTCCACCGAAGGCCCCAGCGGCAGTCCGCATGGCGTACCGCCCCCGATTCGGCGCACCCTTAGCACGCTTCGTGGCCCCATAGAGGGCTCCACAGAAGGCCCCAGCGGCAGTGTCCTCTGGCGAACCAGCCTTCAGTCCAAGCGACCTGATAGGACCAGCCCCAGCGGGCGCAGGCCAGCAGCCACCGCGGCCGCGACACCCTCTCGAGAAGCGAGCAGTGGCAGTTCGCCAGGGTGGGAATCTATATCAGCCTCCCATCCAAGCTCCCCGGGCCCCCTCGGGCACTGAAGAAATCATTACGGGAGGTCTTTCGCTATTTTCGGCCTCTGGGGGCCCTTACTGGCCCTCGGGACCGTCAAACAACTACCCAGGATGAGAAACCGGTCCAGGGGAATGGGTCGAGACCTCCAGGGGTCAACGTAATGAAAAAATCATGACGATGGGGGTCTGGGTCATTCGGCTACACGTAAGAGTGACCCTAGGCAAGAGCAACCTTTGGTGCCCGGCTCTTTGGGGGCCGCGGGGGACCAAAAACAAGCGCGCAAGACGCTACTATCGCATCGCGTTCGGCGATCGGGGGGCCCCATTGGGCCCGCGCCAAAGAAGGTCACTCCGGTCAACGGTCACGCTTACGTCCAGCCGACTTATTCTGCTCTCGTGGCGTGGGATCCCAGACCTCGACCTCAGCCGGCGGGCGTCGCTTCGCGGATTTCGGAAACCCTGAACCCAAAAAAGTGTTCACCCTTTGGGGGCGCATGCTTTACTCCGCCGCCCTTCCGCTGCCCTTCAGCCGAAATCCCGCTGGCGGATGCGGCCTCGCTGTACTTCCGCCGACCTTCCGCCGAGGAAGAGATGACAACTCCTTCGATCCTCGAAGGCACGGCCCTTCCTGGAACGCCTCATATATATATACACACATATACATAGTCTTCGTGGCGCCAGGAGGTCTGGGTCTTCGCCCCCAGCGAGGACCTCGAGCGCGGGCAGCAAATCGACCTTGTTTAGCACCACGTGGACCTCGCGGGTGGCCGGCTCCGAAACCGCCACGTCGTCGGCACCGCCAACGCCGCCATAGCCGTCGCCGTCACCGTCGCCGTCGTCGTCGCCACCGCCGCCGCTGGTCGTCGTCGTCGACGTCGTTGTCGTCGCCGTCGTCGTCGTCAACGTGGACCTTGCGGAGGGATTTGTACCTGATCCTCCGGAGGAAGCCCAGCTCCTCCCTCAGCTCCGGGTGGAGCCACCACGCGTCCTCCGAGGCAGGCCCCCTCGAGACCGCGAACTCTCCTCCTCCTCCTCCTCCTCCTCCTCCTCCTCCTCCTCCTCCTCCTCCTCCTCCCCCTCCTCCTCCTCCTCCTCCTCCTCCTCCTCCTCCTCCTCCTCTCCTCCTCCTCCTCCTCCTCCCTCTCCTCCTCCACTCCTCCTCCTCCTCCTCCTCCTCTTCCTCCTCCTCCTCCTCCTCCTCCTCCTCCGCCCTCCTCCTCCCCCTCTCCTCCTCCTCCTCCTCCTCCCCTCCTCGATCGCCACCTCCTGACCATCCCCGGTTGCGTCGGATCCGATCGCCGAGCCCACGCCCCAGCGCACCCCGTCCCTTCACGCACCCCCGGCTGCGTCCGACCCGATGGTCGATCGCGACCCCCCCCCCCTTCCCCCCCGACATCCCACGCGGCGTCGGGCCCCGATCGGCGAGCCCACGCACGCTCGCAACTCCCCCCTTCCCGTCTCCCCCCTGCTGCGTCCGACCCGCTCGCCGCGCCCCTTCGCTCTGGTAAGTACCCCCCCCCCCTCTCCACGCATCCCCCGGCTGCGGCCCGACCCCGATCGGGGAGCCCACGCCCTCTCGCAACCCCCTTCCCCCTCCTCCTATTCCCCGGCTGGTCGAGCCCACGCCTCCCTCTCGTAAGCCCCCCTCGTTCCCCTAGCCCCTGCTGCGTCTAACCCGATCGTCGAGCCCACGCCCTCCCCGACCAACCCGATCGTCGAGCCCACGCCCTTTACGCATCTTCGGCTGCGTCCGACCCGATCGCCGAGCCCGCGCAATCTTTCGCCCCCCCCCCCACCCCCCCTACTGTCCCTATCCCCGCTCCCCGCTCGACCCGATCGTCGAGCCCACGCTCTCCGCCATCCTCCGGCCCCTCTCCCCCTGCCGCTCCAGGAATGACTGCCCACCGAGCAACCCCAACCCAACCCGAAGTCGCCATTGGGCCTACCACTTTCCAGCGGGGGACTGTTCTGGAACGCGGAAGCAACACAGAGGGGCCCGTGCACCCCCCCCACCAACAACAACTTAGGGGCCTGGGACCTTCGGGCCGGGTTGGGGTGCCCTGAGATCCGACGCCGCAACACGAATACAACATCGCATTGCAAAAATCACCACTGGAGCACCAGACCCCATCCTTCTGCGCCACTCTTCGGGCCGCGTCGATCTGTGAGGGCCCCGGGGCCGGGAACTGGGCGACAACGCCCGCCGTGAAAAATTGGATCGCCAGGATGTCAGGGTAGTTTGGCCAGTGGCGAATCCAAGAACAGGGCCAACACGCATCGCACCGCCGCGGGGGCGGTGCACGCCACCAGCCTGGCCCGCGCGGCTCGGGCGCGCTCCTCCCGGGGATCCTCACGGACCTTGGGTCCACACGGGCCCCCCTGTCGCGAAGCCCGGCAGGCCGCCGAGAAGTTAAACCTGAGCCCGCGGAGGCCGAACAAGGGGACTCGGCCCCGAGTGGCTCCAAGACCCTGGTCAGCCAGAGGGGATTGGCTGACCTCCGTTCGCGCTGACCTTCAGCAGATGAGCTCCGATCCTCCTCATGTTCTTCATCCTCTTCCTCCTCCTCCTCCTACTTATACTCTTCCGGCATTGAACCTCAGCAAATGCGCTCCGATCCTTCTCCTCCTCCTCCTCCTCCTCCTCCTCCTCCTCCTCCCCTTCCCTTCTTCCTCCTCATCATCCTTCCCTTCTTCCTCCTCCTCCTCCTCCTCCTCCTACTCCTCGACGCTGCCTGGCGCACAGGTTATCCTGAGCGCCCTACATTAAATGCCCTCGGCGGATGGCACGAGGGGCGATACGAAGCAGACAGTCCTGCCCCTTCTAATCATGACGTTCGCGCCCCGAGGGCGGACCGCGTGCCACAGCCAGTCGGGACAGGTCAGCCAGCCTCGTCAGACAGGCCAGCGGGGTCAAGTGCCACCGCTGGATGCAAGCGAGACGAGGAAGTCTCGCCAGCTCGCACCAGCTCGGCAGTGCGCCAGGGCTGGACGAGCGTAAACCACTTCTTATTCACCTGGTACCTTCCACGTGCCAAGTTAGCCAGCACACGCGCACCCCAGGAGAGAGGTGCTGGCTGACCTGGACACGGGGAAGATAGCGCAGGAGGCGAGCCCAGGCCCGCAGCGCCGAACACGGCACAGCCAACCCCCCACTTGCCAGCCTCTGCAAGCTGGAAGGCATGGATTACATGAACTCTCTGGCCCCCAACTGCGATGCGGACCGTAGTCGCATCAGCCCACCTCAAGGCGCGCGGGGTGCCGGGCGGCTCGGGTGGGGGAACCTGCAGCAGCGGGGCGTGAGGTTGCGCCGCGCGCTTACGCTGGTCCTCACTGATATGAAGCGAGTCGGACGCCACCAAAGCTGGCCCTACACGAGCCACCCAGGCGGCGTACGTTCGAAGGACGGCTGCTTTCTGCGCGCGCTGCTCACGCAGCTTCAGCGGGAGGCGAGAGAAAGCGGAGGCCTGCCTGGCGCACTCGTCGGCTAGGTCATTGCCTGCCTTGTGGAAGGCGGAGGCATCGCCAGAGACCGAGGCGCGAGTGGTGTGGCCTTTGACTTTCACAAGCCCACCCAGCCCACTCACCCCACCCCAGTCGTCGATTTTGTGCCACACCATGCGCCAGAGCTCGGCCCAACTGAATTTCGCAGAGAAGCACTTGACGGGGCCTCTCTCAACGACCCCGTCCACTACAAAACTGGAGTCACTGTAGAACGCGGTGCCAGGCAGGGACGCGCACAGCGCTTGATAAAAAGCCATCAGCTCGAGAGCGTCTATGTCGACGGCGGGATGCTCGAAAGAGCCGGCATAGATGGCCTCCGCTCGAAACGACTGCTCGGGAACTTGAACGCAAGACCAGCCCAGACCACGATGCTCGACATCAAACTCGGAGTCCCTCAGGCTCCCGTCCAGGAAGACATGGCCCTGCAGGACCCCGCGCCCCAAGAGCCAGAGTCCAGGAGGCCTTGGGGCAGCAGGAAGGGGAGCAAGCGGCACGAGCAGCCTCTCAGCGAGGAGGAGGGGAAGAGGATCGACGCACGAAGCAGCAAGCCTCCTCAGGAAGGGTGGTGGGGGTGTCTCGACCGCTTCCTCAGTGAAGCCACAGGAGAGATGCCTGTGTGACAGCGTGCCTGGTGCACTAAGGCATGCACGACACAAAAACTCCGACGAGAGACTGGCGCCATGCTGGCGCTGCTGGGGCCACTGTCCGCCCGCAAACAACGCTCCTCAAATATGCGGCCCCCTGGGCCGAGCACTTCTTACTGCGGATGACTTGCTTGATTGGATGAAGAAGCAGGCCTCCGCGGGCCTCGGGAAGCTCCAAGTGGTTGGCAACCCTGTCCCAAATCCACCCGTCCACCACCCGATCCAACACCAGCCCAAGGGTCCGAGGAGAGAGGTCGAGGGGAGAGAAGGTGCCAATCAACGGGTGCGTCCACTGGAGTCCCTGAAACTTGATGCCAAGCCGTAGCGCCGTGGCTACGCACGCTGAACAAAAGGACCTCGGATGCTTTGCCAGGGGGGCCCGTGATCGGACAAGCGTCCCCAAGCGTCCTCAAGTCCACCCCGAACAACCGAAACGGGGAGCCACGAGTCCCAAACAGCCGAGGCCAGGGCCAGCAAGGGCCCTTGATTCAAACGATAGGCAGGGTCAACACGATCAACCTGAGACATTTGCAGCATGAGGGAAACCGATCTGCCATGCACACGCATGGCTTCAACCTGCGCCTGTTGATACCTTGCCGCGCGAAGCTCACCATTATTCGTGCCGAGGACCTGATGTCCATAGGAGGTGGAAGACATGGCAGCAGCCTGCACCATGTGGCGCGCCTGCTTACGTTTAAGCTGCCTGCCGACGGAAATCAATTGATTGTGGCACTGACGGGCAGGGGTGATGCGCTCACGTCGAACAGTCCTGGCGGCAACTCGACCTCCTGAATAATCGATGCCAAGGTTACGCTCGTGCCGCACTCCTTTGACTGACAGCCTACGCAGCCTGGTCTGAATGCGAGCGAGGAGGTCGGGAGAGGAAGCGACGACTCTACTCTTGCTCTGCTTGATGCGTAAATCCACACATTCGAGCTCATGATGCAGCCTCTGAGTGGCGCGCGTGCTATTGCCCAGCTCATGTGGCTCTCGCCCGCAGGCGTGGGGTCCGAAATCGTCAACGACCACACCTAAGTGCACAGTGCGAAAATCCGAAGCGACCGCGTCGAGCGGCTGAAGCAGGGCGAGCTGTAACATAAGCGTGGCAAAGTGACAGCCAGGGATGACAGACTGCAGCGTGTGAATGACCTGCGAGGCTCGACCGTCGAGATCAAAGATGCGAGGGGCTCGATACAAACTGATGAGCAGCCTCAGCTGCCAAAGTGGAAATTGCGTGGCCACTGCGGCCTGCAAGAGCCTGTGATGGGTGATCTGCTCGAACGCTTTTTCGAGATCGAGCAGAACGAGAGCGCTCGAGAAGCCGCGCCCCTGGCACCATTCCGTCATGGCCGACTGGGCCCACACCAGTCTATCCGAGCCTCGCCCAGCCGTGGCCAACCAGAAGGACCTGAAGTTCTTTTCTTGCCAGGAGCGCACCAGGTAACGTCGGAGACGCCCCTGAATTCTGGCAGCGCAAAAAAAGCAGCCCAATTGGTCTCAGACCTCCCGCCCTTTTCAGAAGGAAGACAATCTTCGTATGGACGAGGGGCCACTCGCATGTGGCTTCGATATCCATCACAAGCTGGACGAGAACCTCGATGGCCTCATCTGGAAAGGTGTCCAACTGGCGAGGCGTGAGCACATCGAACCCACGCCCAGTCCGAGGAGGAAAGGAGCGGAGGACCTTGCGCATCTCCGCGACAGAGGGCGCTGGGCAAAGGGGGCCTAGGTCTCTGGGCCACTCTAGCGCATCGTGAGGCTCGCCTATGCGCCACCATTTGCACCATTCATCGGCCAGCAATGTCAATCTCCGGTTGCAGAGTGGCTGGAGCGGGAAGAGGCGTGCCATCAACTCTGAAGTGAGGTGTGGCGTGCCAAGGAGTGCGTGGCCTTGTCGAAGCAAACAAAGCGGCAGCACCATCGACCGAGTGCGCACGAACCCACTGGCGCCACTCCGAGGACTTAACTGACAAGGCCTTGCGATGCTCAGAGCTAGCCCTGACACGTGCAGCGGAGGACAGAGCAGCAGCCAAGCCGGGGCACAGGCCCGGCGCGTCGCGCAGCGCGCGAAGCCAAGCTACCTCGTGCACCATCACGCTCACCAGGGGAGGCAGCTTGGCTTCGCACAACAGACGCTTGCAGAAACCAAGAGCGCTGCTGCGCTGCAAGCTAGAGTGCCAAAAGGAGAGACAATGAAACGCGTGGCCTACCCTTCGCCACCAAACGGCGACAGGGCTCAGACGAGGAAAAGGAAGCCGCTGAGGAGGACGAGCCCGAACTTGGTCCACCTGTAATTTGAAAGCACGCCCAGTGTACTTGGAGGCGTGCTCATCATCAATCTGGTACATGTCGAGAAACTGCTGCTCGGCCGTCATAGCGAATGACTCCCATTGATGCTGGACCGAGCTATTCGCATTCTCATGTCGGAGCTGCTCCCATACTGGAACCCAGTCACGACGTGGACATCCAGCAGGTCGTGCATGCGGAAACCTTCGGGGAACTCGCACTTGAGCAACCAGGGGCACCATGCTTGACGAACGAAGCTTGAGCCTCACGGGTTTGCGGGGCTCGGTGGCGACCTGGCTCAAGACATCGACTTGGCACCCGAACTGCAAGCTGTTGCGAATCACAAAGTAGTCGATCGTCCTGCCGCCATTCTCTGAGGAGCAGGTGGGGATGGACGGGGCAGCAACGACGACATCAATGCTTTGAACCCAAAGGCTACCTTGCAACTGATCTGGAGGAGCCTGCCAATCGCCTTGGATGACAACAGGCATGCAAAAGGACTTGATGACTTCACGAACTTGTCACAGCAAGGACCAGCTCGCCGCGGCTAGCCCAACACTGTGATGGAGATAGAGCCCAATCCACAAGAAACCTCCTGGACACAATCCACCGACGTGAACCACGGTGATGCGCCCAGGTGCAAGATCGGTATTGACCGTCTCAACTTCACTCATGCCATACCCAGCCACCATCATGCCAACTCCTCCAGAAAAACCTTTTACCCGAAGAAGATGCGATGGCTGGAATAACCTTGGCATCCCATGCTGACTTACGTAATATGTGTTCGAGGCTGGCGGTGGAAATCTCATGGTGCTCTTGGAAGCAGACGGCCTGGCACTTGCGAACGGGCGGGCCAGACAATAACTCATCCACGCCGGCTAGGCCAGACACGTTCGAGGTGACGAGCACAAAAGCGTCACCCACCAGCGTTGGAGGGGCCACCCGAACCCGAGCCTGGCTGGGCACCTCCATCTGCGCCCTTGGACTTCTTAGAGAGGTGACCCTTGGCGGCCTGCAGCATCCCAACGGCGGCCTCGTGCTTGACACCGTGCTGGGTCTCGATGCTGTCCAGGAAAACTAGGTCGTCGATGAGCGCGTCGATGTCCATATCGACGGGCACAGGCTGCTCGATCCCTCCTTTGCCCTGGGCGGGCCCGACACCACCAACATGCTCGGCAGGAGCAGCAGGAGGTACAGGCGGAGGAGGAACCAGCGCGTAGCCCAGCTCGGTGGCCATCTCCTCGAGCTGGCCCTGGAGCTTGTTGAACCTCTGAAGAGCGTCGGGATCCTCAGTACTGGGTTCGACGAGCACCGACTTGGCCCACGCCTGGAATTGAGTCTCCGCGGGTGTGGGCGCCATGGACTGAAAGGCCTGCGAGGCCCGTGCGGCAGCCTCTTGAGCCGCCTTGGTGGCTGCCTCGAGCTCATTCTTCGCGACCTGCATGGCACGAAGAGACTCAGCAAGGTTAGCAAGAGCTCGAGCGTGCTTGCTCTGCGCCTGCTGCAGCTGGGTCTGCGCCTCGTCGTTGCCGATGCGAGCGGCCTTGGCGGCAGCCCGCGGCTCCCCAATGAGAGCGGCCCGCGCAGCACGCACCCGACTCTTGGCCTTGGGGTGCCATCCCTCGCTGATGATGTTGAAGGCATCCTCGGCCAAGGTGGCATAGTGGTGGACCTGCTGCTCGGAGAGAACGGGCCCAGACGGCTTCTGGCTGAGCTGCGGCGGTCCATTGCGCCACTGGCCGCGCGGCTGCATGGATGGACCGTCGCCAGGCCTCCGAGGAGCAGGAGTGCCGCACATACGACATGTGGTGCGCCACGCATAGTTGTAGCGATATCCACACTTGCGAGAATGCGGACAAGACCAACAATCCATGCGGGACTGACGTAACAGTGAGATGGCAAAGCGTGAGGGCTGAAACCTCAATGCGGGTATGCAGGCAGAGGTGAGGGCCGCAAACCCCTCGCACCAACTCAAGTACCCTGAGCCACAACGCTACGGACTTGAGCCAAAATGGCTTGAGCCAAAATGGCTACGGGCCTCCTCCTCCTCCTCCTCCTCCTCCTCCTCCTCCTACTCCCCTTCCTCCTCCTCATCCTTCCCTTCTTCCTCCTCCTCCTTTTCCTCCCCCTCCTACTCCTCCTCCTCCTCCTCCTCCTCCTCCTCCTCCTCCTCCTCGTTGAGCAGGAGGGGGCGGAGGAGGAGACAGAGAGACAGTCACCATGAGCCCCATGCGATCCCCAGGATCCTCGGCTGGAGTGCCCTGCGCAGCCCCACGGGGCAGCATCATCAAATGGGGCGGATGGCGAGTGAAGGCTCGAGCTTCCCCGGATTGGCAACCCTGGTGCGTGTCTGGAGGCGGGCCCTCGGGGCGACATGACGGCACCCCACGGTGCCAGGGAGATGGACGAGGAGGGGGAGAAGGAGGAGGAGGAGGAGGAGGAGGAGGGGGAGGAGGAGGAGGAGGAGGAGGAGGAGGAGGAGGAGGAGGAGGAGGAGGAGGAGGAGGAGGAGGAGAGGGGGAGGAGGAGGAGGAGGAGGAGGAGGAGAGAGGAGGAGGAGGAGGAGGAGGAGGAGGAGGAGGGAGAGAGGAGGAGGAGGCGGAGGAGGAGGAGGAGGAGGGGGAGGAGGAGGAGGAGTAGGAGGGGGGAGAGGAGGAAGGAGGAGGAGGGAGGGAGGAGGAGGAGGAGGAGGAGGAGGAGGAGGAGGAAGAGGACGAGGAGCGCCGATGGCCAAAGCCGTGGCACGAAACGGTCGCAAATGGGCTTCGAGATCGCGGAGCCGGCAGGGCGAGGACTCGCGCTCAGCCTTCAGCTTGTTACTAAAGCGTGGGATCCGAGGACGCTCGATCGATGGGCTGCGACGCCGGAAGACGATGAGGAGGAAGAGGCGGACGCCGGATAAACGTGACAGGACGGAAAAGGAGGCAGAAGATAAGCAAGGCTGCCCCCTCGTCCTCCCCCGTCTCCCTTCCCTTCTTCCTCCTCCTCCTCCTCCTCCTCCTCCTTCTCCTCCCTCCTCCGCCTCCTCCTCCTGCTCCTCCTCCTCCCCCTCCTCCTCCTATCTAGCTTTTCCACGCACGGTCGACACGCCAACTCTCGTTTGATTCGACGGCACCATACCAGGGGATATATGAACCACGCATGGCCACGAGGAGAGCTGGTTTGGGGGAGAACGAAAAAAATGTCCTCCTCCTGATCCACCCCCCAAATCCCCGGCAGGGCCGCCGCGCGCGCGCGCGCGCGTCCGGCGTGGGCGGTCCCACGGGGACCCCGTCCAGCATCGGGGTCTCTGGGAAGTAATCCCCGTACATGCGTAGCTTCGAGGCGTCGAGGACCCAGAACACGGCGTCCATCTGCTTTACTGTTTTCCAAGCTGTCCTCACTCGTGAGGCTGCGGAACGCGCGCACGAACAGGCCCCCCAGGTGGTCCCGGTCGGCCGTATCAAGCCCGGCTGAGTGGCCCCAGCTGGCCACAACAGGCCTCCGGAAGAGTCCGGGGGGTTTGAACAGCGCATTGGGCGCGGAACGCCCCAGGGGCGTCGGCTGTGGCGGCGGCAAGGTGTTGAAACGGCCACGGACTACTCGGGTGGCCTGTCGAAGCCAGCCACGGGTCACTCACTACCTGGAGGGGCCGTCTGCGCGCATCCCGAAGCCTCACCAGTCCTCACCATTGCCTTGTGCAACGGGTTCTGCTTGAACAGCGCCTTCTGCTTGTAGGCCACCTGTCGCTGCTGGACGTCCTCGGACGCCAGGTTGCCCTGGGCCAGCTCCATGATCCCGGCGGTGTCCTGGAACACGGCCTGCGTGTTCGGGGGGGCGCCTGGCCTCGGGGAGAGCAGGGCGATGCCCATGACTCGCTGCCTGGCAGAAGACGGGATTGGGGGCGGGAGGGGAACGGAGACGGAGGAGGAGGACGAGGAGGGATGATGATGAGGAAGAGAGGGAGGATGAGGAGGAGGAGGAGGAGGAGGAGGAGGAGGAGGAGGAGGAGGAGGAGGAGGAGGAGGAAAAGGAGGACGAGGAGGAGGAGGAGGAGGAGGAGGAGGAGGAGGAGGAGGAGGAGAAGGAAAAGGAGGAGGAGGAGGAGGACGAGGAGGAGGAGGAGGACGAGGAGGAGCAGGAGCAGGAGCAGGAGCAGGAGGACGAGGAATATCATGCTGGATCATGCTGGCCAACCTTCCGAGGTCGCGAAACACGGGCAACGGTAGCGATGAAAGCTCCCCCACACCCCAGGGCGATAAGGTCCGGCTTTGCTTTGGAATCGTAGCTGATGACGTCAGTCCAGCTATTTCTTCCCCTTGCCGTTTCACGTGGCGACGAGGGCCCAGCCGTGGCGACGAGGAGCGACGCGGGGAAGATAGGCGCCCCCAGGTGATTGGCCCATTTTTCGAGCCGCGTCCTTCGGCAGCATCGCCCTCTGCGGCGGCCTGCTGAGCGCTCTGGCGCACGCCGCCGCCTGCTACCTTCCGTGGGGAAACTTGCAATTTCGCCCGAGCTGGCCCCAGCGTTGTAGCTGATGACGCTTGCACCTGCGCTCGCGCCTGCGCGCAGTGCCAACTTCGCTGCCACTGCTTGTTCTTCTCGCGTTGCCAGCTCCCGCTGCCACTACCTGCCCTTCTCGCACAAGGTGACCCCAGCAGCAATGTAACTGATGAGGTGTTCTTGCAACGCCGGCGGGCACAGGCAACCATTGCCACTGCCTACACGTTCGCACCGGCAGCCACTGCTGTCACTGCCTGCTTTCTTGCACTGCCAGTTCCTGCTGCCACTGCTCTCTCGCACAAGCTGATGAAGAGTTCTTGCCTCGCCATTTGGCACAGGCAACTGCTGCTGCCACTGCCTGCCTTCTCGTACCAACCACCCTTGCAGCCACTGCTCCTCGGTATGGCGTCTCCCACACGAGCTGGGGCGTGTACCTGGCGCACAGCGCGGTGGCCGCACTCCGCATGGACGTGCTGCCAGGCGCGCTCGAGGTCCCCGCCGCGGGCCTTGAGGCCCCCGCCCCGCGGGCAGCGCCAGGCGCGCCGGGCCTTCCCGCAGAGCGGCTCGCCGCAGCGTTGCCCCGCGCGCTCGCCCGTCCGGGCGCGGTCGCAGCAGGTCGCACCGGGCGGCGCTGCGTCTTGCCCCAGGAGGCAGCGGGCATGCAGTGGCCTTGGAGTCCGCGTCTCCCAGCCGCTCGCGAGCCCACCCAGGCGAGGCCGTCTGCCGCCCGGAAGCGCGCGGCCCGCCGCAGGAGCGTAGTCCTCTCCTCTGGCCCCAGGGCCCTCAGCAAGGAAGAGAAAATGTTGTGGTCGATCCTTGCGGTGACGAGGGCCTTCTGAAGCTTCCGGGCAGGCGCCCCAGCCAGCTTTTGCCGGGTGGGCAGCTCGGCCGGCTCCGCGCCTGGGCGGGGGGGCGGCGGCGCCAGCTGCGCGAGCCCGGCGAGCGCGTCGCGGCAGGCGCAGGTTGCCAGGTTCTCCAGGCAGGGGGGCCCAGCGCGCTCCCGGACGCCGCTCGGACTCTGCGCCCAGGACGCGGCCCTGGCCGCTGGCGCCAGCTGCCGTTGGCTGCGGAGGCCGCGCCCATCGGCCCGCAGGGGCAGCTGGCACTGCGCCCGCTGCGGCTCCGTCAGCGGGTCCATCTCCGCGAGTTGCTCGCATGCCGCCAGCGGGGCCTCGTCGTAGGCCGCGGCCGCGGCTTCCGAGGCAGCCGGCGGGTTCGTCCGCAGAAGGTGCGTGAGCTTATGCTGGTGCCGCAGTGGCGCAGCAAGAGCCCCGCTGTTTGCGCCGCCGGCAGGCGCGGCGAGGCCGCCGTGGGGGGCGCCGCGAGCTTGGCGAGGAGCTCCACCGCTCGCCCCGCCGTCTCCGCGCAGCGCGCCCTCGCGTAGTCCGCCGAGCCCAGGTCAACGCGGCGCCCGTCGCTCTCGTCGGGCAGTCCTCCCGCGGGCAAGGGGGCCCCAAGCGGCACGCCCACGAGGGTCAAGCCCTCCGCGCGCCATTGCTCCTCCAGGCCGAGGGGGCAGGCTGCGGCCGATGACCAGGCCCGCGTCTTCCGCGGTTCCAGAGTCAAGCCGAGGTCAGCCAGAGCCGTATGCGCCGCCGCCTGCGCGTCGCCCGCGACCTCCGCCGGCGCCAGCGCGACGATGTCGTCCAGGTTGGCGAGCACGCGGACGGCGCCGGGGTCCAACCCCCGCTGCTCCGCGGCCGCTTGCAGAGCTTGCTCCAGGGCGCGCAGGCAGGGCCGCATTCCGCAGGCAAAAAGCAGCGGCGCCAGTGGGTCTCCCTGGTCCACCCCGCCCGTGGCGCGCAGGCGGTGACAGACGCCCGCTGCGTCCCAGAAGTAGTACTGGGACCCTCGGCGGCAGAACAGGTTGGCGTAGGGCAGTAGCTCTGGTGCTGCCTTCTCGAGCTCCCGCAGGCACGCCTCCCTGTTGGTGGAACAGTACGCGTTCTTGGCGTCGAGCGCGATCACCACCAAGCTTGGGCCTCCTTCCGCCACAGCCCGCGCCGTGTGCGCCAGGAGCTCTGAGCCTGCAGCCGTGCCCACAGCGAACTGCTGCCTCCCCAATGCCTCAGCCAGCTCGTGCTTGCGAGGCGTCACCAGCGCCCGGCCTACCAGCCGCCGCCAGATGTTCGGCGCGGCGATGGGCCGAACCCCGCCGCCTGGCTTGCGCAGCGGCGTCAGCTTTGAAAGTGCCAGCGCGGCAGCGGTGCTTTCGGGGACCCGCCCCTCTGCGATCTTGTCAAAGACCCCGCAGAAGGCGTCCAGGGCACTGGGCTCGGCAAGCACCGCCCGCCAATGTTCGAAGCGCCCGCCGGCGGCGGCGGCCCCGCTGCCCCGGGGGGTCCTTTTGAGTGCCCTCTTCAAGGCCCCGTGGGAAAGCGGCGGTTGCCCGGCCGGCGGCGCCGCCGCAGCGGGCAGCGCCGCGGGCGGGGCGCGGCTGGAGGAGCGTGGAGCTGCTCCGCTGTCTCGGCGGTGAGCGGGGCGAGGCCTGGGCTAGTGAGCAGGGCGGCAGCTCGGGAGTACTCCTCGCCCATGGCTTTCCGCAGGACCTCGTCTGCGAGGGATCGTTGGTCCCGGGCAGTCCCGCCAGCCCGGCGGCGCGCCATGGCCAGGCCTCGGGCCGCGCCCCTCGCCGCCGTCAGAACTGTTTTTCCCGCCCGCCGTGGAGCAGTGAGGCGCAGCGCTCGCGCACGAGCTGGGCGCGGTCCAAGGTTTCTGCTTCTGCGCGGCGTTGCCGGCCGTTCGCCCCGAGACGGAGGGGGGCCACGAAGAGCAAACGCTCCCGCAGCGCGAGGAGCTTCCAGGTCCCGCTGCTCCTCCTCGTCCTCCTCCTCCTCGTCCTCCTCGTTGTCCTCCTCGTCCTCGTCCTCCTCGTCCTCCTCGTCCTCCTCGTCCCTCTCCTCCTCCTCCTCCTCCTCCTCCTCCTCCACCTCATCATCATCATCATCATCACCATCACCACCACCACCAACATCTTCATCATCATCATCATCATCATCATCATCAGCATCATCATCATCACCATCACCATCACCATCACCATCACCATCATCATCATCATCATCAACATCATCATCATCCTCATCATCATCATCATCATCCCCATCATCCTCATCATCAGCAGCATCATCATCAGCAGCTTCTTCATCGTCACCATCATCAAAACATCATCAACAACAACAGCAGCATCAGCATCAGCATCATCATCATCATCATCATCATCATCATCATCATCATCATCATCACCAGCATCATCATTAGCAGCATCATCCTCATCATCCTCGTCCTCATCCTCATCATCATCCTCATCAACATCATCAACCACCGTTCCCCGTTAACCTCCTACTTGTCCTCCGCCTCATCCTCCTCCTCCTCCACCTCCCCCTCCTCGTCCTCCTCCTGGTCCTCCTCCTCCTCCTCCTCTTTCTCCTCCTCCATCTCATCCATTTCCTCCTCCTTCGCCTCGTCCTCGTC